TCATGCTCAGCCCTATCAGCGTACGCCCTTGCTTCACGTACCTGATACGTGAATTCGAAATTGCAAAGTGATGGTCCAGTAAACGTCTATTTATTTTTACTCAGAACACGAACTGAATCACTTCGAATTGTGGACAATCAAATGCAGACTCAAGATATTATATATCACGGTACTGGGATAAAGCATTAAAGTACCATGGCATCAGAGAATCATATTTTCGGTTTGCTGAAGCAAAAGGCGTGTTTGACGGAATTTGTCTTGTAATCTTCAGCAATTATCTTCTTCTGAACAGTTCATAACATCCATTGTCATACCTTTTCCACCACTTTACTCTTAACGGTACGGCAAAAATTGAAGCGAGGACAATCGAAACAGTTTGCATTTTTCTTCAACTGCTTGCAAGCCGAGAATTTTTCATTTTTTTTTTCAGCTCTTATCGCGATCTATCACAAATTTACTGAATCCCTGAATTCGGAGAGCCTTCTTGGGCTTCGGCGCAACCGGTTATGAGCCGGCAAAAACCATTCTTTCCGTTTCGTTCTGTATTTTCCAGTGTCTATCATATATTTACTGTGTTGGCAAATAACCGGGCTAGCCTTTCTTTCATTTTTCTGGGTAGCACTGAAGAACAAGCAACATCAAAAAACGCGAAAAGTTTTCCGGATAGCACAGCTTCAGAAAGTTGTTACTGTTTGATCTTTTTTTAAACCCTGCATGATTTACCAAAAAAAGCCACAGCAGCGCATGAAGCACATTCCGAATATTTTTTTTTCTTCGCTCTCTTCGGACATTTTCTATGTCAGCCACGTAAATCAACTGCGAATGCCACTGCATTGGAATTTTCTAAGATCCAGTCGGATTTGTTATCTTTTCATGCTCCAAACAGAAGTTATAGCACCATACCAATATAGCGTAGCAATCCGAACTCATTCTTTTCCAAAAACGTTTACTAGGCGAATGGCAATAAAGGAGAAGCATTCACATCGGTTCCAGAACCCATAAACCACCTTGCCAAACCTTGGCAAAACTTATCTTTCTGACCAAAGCTGTAGGCTTTCTCACAGTTCTTTTATCCGCTTTTGCCAAACACAATCCCTGATAGATGCTCCTGTCCTGTACAAAGCCATGCGATCTTGGCGGACTTACTGGCATGCTTCAACAATTATGGATGCTTAATAGCATCGTTTGGAGGCAGTCGTCGAGCCAGATTCTTGAGGAGCAGCCGTAAGAAATAAAAAAATTTCTTTCAACTTGACTTTTTTCAAGCCTCCAACGCCCAAGGTCGGGGCCCGTCCAATGCCAATACACCCCGCTCGGCATCACAAAGTCATCGCTTGAAACCACGGTTCTCCATCGCTCTTCCTCAGATTACC